AATTGTGTTGTATACCTAAAATGTACCAATAAAAGTATTTAACAAAAAAATAAAAAAATAAAATAAAATAAGAATCTTGGGCCGGGGATTTAGCTTAGTGGTTCCGCCGCCTGTTCGATCCCCGGTACCAAAAATAAATAAATAAATAAAAATAAGAATCTCATATTTGACATGGATTCACTTGACAAAGCTTTTTCTTCTTTTTCCTTTTTGCCTAAGTTTAGATTACACAAATTTTCTGAACAGATCATAGCGTCTTTGGGAGATTCCCTTTTGGCCTTTCCTAAGATTGCCACTCCCCTCCATTACATGATTTTACTCCCAACTTTTCAAAGGACTAAGTTACTCAGAGGTTGTACAAAGGGTGTCACTTGCCTCTTCCACTGGTTTTTCAATGTGGATATCCTGGAAGCTGGACATGTAGTCAACGCATCCATCTTTGTCTATCTTTACCAGATACAAACTCAGAGTTCTCCATGGTAAATTCAGGCCCAGAATGCTCTCCATAGAAAAAGCCCATTGGGTCACTGAAAGTTTTCCTAACAACAACAATGACACACCCCATATAATTTGCTTATAATTTGGAAAAAAAAAAGACGCAAACTCCTTGGTAAAGCCAGTGGGCAGCCTGGGGTTTTGAGGCCTGAGGGCCTGCTATTCTCCTTCATAATCTATCCAACCAAGCCCCAGAGCCCAGAGGGAGAAATAACTAGACATAAACTTTCATATTCCACAGATCTTGTCCTTACTGTCATAGTCAAGAAATATCACTTTGGGTATTCAATTCTTTTCTTTTCTCTTATTAACAAAATAAGGTATGCTTATTAACAAATATCTTTATTTTTTCTCTCTATATATAAATATGTGCTTACATAAGTATGTAATAGTTCCTTTTTCTCAAAATCAAATATATTGTACTATAGTATATGTTTTATATACATGTATTACATGTGGCAAAACACACATATACACATACATAAAAATATTTACTTTAACATGTTTTTAAAATCATGGACATCCATCTATATTAAAGAACATAAATCTACATAATTGTTTAATGGTCATAGAACTACTCCATTATTTCCTTAAGATCGTTCATAACAGTGGAATTGCAAGATCAAGAGGTACAGTTTTTTTTTTTCAGTACTGAGGATTGAATTGAGCTACATCCTCAGACCTCCTTTTTAAAACAGGGTATTCCTGAGTCACTACATTGCCCAGGGTGGGCTTGAACATGTGATCCTCTTGCCTCAGTTTCACAGAGTGCTGGGATTACAGGTGTGCACTACCATACCGGACTACAGTATGCAGATTTTCCAGCCTTTTGGTATACATAGTCATCCTTTGGTTCCATAATCCCCATAGACACCAAAATCCACGGATACTCAAGTCTCTTATAAAAAGTGATGTAGCATTTGCATATAACCTTCACACAGCTTCCTGTATACTTTATCACTAAATTACTTATAATATCAAATACAATGTAAATAATTGCTATAGTGTATTGTTTAGGGAATAATGACAACAAAAAACACCTGTACACGTTCAGAAGAGACTCAATTTTTTTTCAAATATTTCAAATATTTGTTACAATATTTGGTCTTTATTGTGTGTGGAAAATGCAGTGGTATCCACCTTTCTAGTGAGTTTCATGGGCACCCCAATGGGTGGCTCCAGCCTGTCTAGGCCTGGCCCAACAGCTGGGCACATCAATGAAGTTCCACCCCATCCAGTGGACCACAGCCACTCCCTCACCAGTGAATTTCAAACTTGGTTAGAAGTAGGGGACTCTTCTCAGTTTGTACCTTCCTTGAGTACTCTCTCAGCCTTAGAGGTAGTGAGTTCCTCCTTATACTTGCTATTCCTGTATTTTTTAGGTTTCTTTTATCCCTTCTAGTAATCATCCTTTATTAGTTAATAATTCTTTATATTAAATTTCCTTGTTAAAATTACTGATGTGGTTTCTATATCCTAAATAGGCACTGAATAATATACTAGTATATGAAAATGCAATCAATTTATGTGTGTTGACTTTGTGTTTGATGACTTGCTAAACTCATTTATTAATTCTAGTAGCTTTTCTGTGGATTACTTTGGATTTTCTATATATTCAATCATGTTGTCTACACATAGTGACACTTTTTTTTTTTTTTGGTACCAGGGATCGAACTCGGGACCTTGTGCTTGCGAGGCAGGTGCCAGAACCACTGAGCTAAATCCCCAGCAACACATTTTAATTCTTATTTCTTTAATTTGCCTTATTGTGCTGGCTGGCATCCCTAGCACAGTGCTAAATGGATGTCTTGATGGTGGGCACATCTGTATGAGTTTCCTATTGCTTCTGCCGCAAATTACCATGGGCTTAGTGGCCTGCATAACACAAATATATTCTCTTCCAGTTCTCGAGATCAGAAGTCTAAAATCAGTCTCATTGGGCAAAAGTCAAGGTTCAGCATGGTTCGTTCCTTCTGGAGGCTCTGAGGGGAAGATCTGTTTCCTTGGCTTTTTCCAGCTCCTGGTTGCCTATATTCCTTGGCTTGGGGCCCCTTCTTCCATCTTCAATATCTGCATCTATAATCATATCATCTTCCTCTCTGACTGTCTCCTACGTTCCTCTTAAAAGGACCATTGTGATTACATCAGGCCCACTGGACAACACAGAAGACTCTGCCCTGACCAAGATCCTTAAATTAATCAAATTTGCAAGGTCCCCTTTGCCATATTAAGCAATGTCCACAGATTCAGGCTATTAGGATGTGGGCATATTGGGGGTAGGACATTATTCTGTCCATGATGGCATCTTTTCATTTCCAATCTTTCTCCATTAAGTATGTTGTCACAGGCTTTCAAAGTTAGAGACTTTATGAGATTAAGAAAGTTCACTTTTTCTTAGTCTTCTTCCTTCCTTCTTCTTTCCTTCCATTTTTTCCTTGTGTTAGACAAGGGTTCTACCACTAAGCCATAACCCCGTCCCAGTCCTTCTAAATGTTTTCTAAATCCATGAAACCAGGGTGAAATACATCAAATAATTGTTCTCTTGTTTTCAGAGAATTATATGACTTCTTCACTTCTTCAATTTTGTTAAAATGGCAAATTATACCACTTGATTTTGGAATGTTAAAACAATCTAGAATTCCTAGTATTCCTAGAAAAAGCCAAACCTGGTTGTGATATACTAATCTTTGGCTAATGTTTCATTTAGGATTGTTGGAATCTAAATTTATCAATGAAATTAGTCCTTAAGTTTCCCCTTTCATAATATTCTTGTTAGGTTTTGATATTAAGGTTATGCTGTTTTCCTAAAATAATGTGGAAAGTGTTCTACTTCTAGTCTCTGGAAGAGTTTGGATAAGACTTGTTTTGTTTCTGAAATGTACATTGTAAAGGTTAACAAAGCTATCTAAGAGCAGAGCTTTTCTCATGGAAAATTTTAAATTTTCATTTAAAAAAAAATTTTTTTTGAAACAGAGTATCGCTCTGTAATTCAGGCTGGCCTTGCACTCACTATGTAGCCCAAGCTGGCCTCGAACTCACAGCAATCCTCCTGCCTCGGCCTCTTGAGTGCTGGAATTACAGACATGCACCACCATGACGGGCAAATTTTCAGATGCAACTTCTTTCTTTCTTTTGTAAAATATTTTTTGAGGCAAGGGTTTCACTATGTAGTTCAGATTGGCCTTGAACTCATGATGATCCTCCTGAGCCTCAATCTCCTGAACAATTTTTTAAAATAGTTAAAGAATTGTTCAGATTTTCTATTTATTTTTGTGTCAGTTTAAGTCTGCACATATTTGAGTGTATAGATGTGTGTATTTTAGGAATGTGTCCGTTTGATTTAAAGTTTGAATAATTAGCATAAAAGTTTTCATAATCTTATGATCTTTCAATGTTCATAAGGTGTGTTGTAATATCTCCTTCAATTTTGGCATTGGTTATTTGTGCTTGTGCACATGTGCTGTCTTGCTTGCTCTCTTTCCCTTTCTTACCAGAATTTTGGCAACTTTACCAGTTTCTTCAAAAAACTATTTTTTTACTTTGTTGATCACAGTTTCATCTTTTAAAATGCATGCATTTAAGGTTTAGCAATGCCTCTCTAATTTGTATTCCCTAAGTTTTAAGCGTTGTGTTTTCATTAGCACTTCATTTCAGCACTCTAATCTCAGTAGTACATTTTTCATTTCTAATCCAAAAGAGGATTTTATGGCTAGATTATGTTATTGACTTGTAGCTCCAATCACTATGTCAAGGAATTAATTTATTATATAATGTTTCCAATTCTCCACAATCTGCTGAGATTTGCTTTATGTTCTACTTTACGGTCAATTTTTAGAAATGTTCCATTTCTGCTTGACAAGAATATATATTCTAAAATATTGGGTGCAGAGTTTTAAGAAAAGATTGCTAATATTTTATCTGTCTGTTTTTCAGTTCCTGAAAGAGAAGTATTAAAGTCTCCTACTATTCTGGGGGTAGTGGCACACACTTGCAATCCCAGCTGGCTCAAGATGGGGTTGGGATATGTGGGTGTTAACCATTAAGATGGCCTCAGTTACCTGAGAGGCAAAGGCAGGAGGATCACAAGTTCCAGGCCAGCCTGGACAACTTAGCAAAGCCCTGTATCAAAATAAAAATTGTTTTAAAGGGCTGGAGATGTAGCTCAGTGATATAGCTGCTTGCCTAGCAAGCATAAGGCCCTGGGTTCAACTCCCAATACTCCAAAAGAAAAAAAAAGTCCCACTATGATGGTGGGTACTTCTACTTCTATTCTACCAGGCTTTGTTTACAGATTTTTAGGGTATAAATAATAGGTGCTTACACATTTAAAATGGATTCAATTAGCAAATCAAATATTTTATAATTATAAAGTTTCCCTTTTTATCTCTAGTGATGTATATTTGCTTAAGAGTCTACTTTGTCTGATATTGATAGAGTGGTTCCAGCTACATTTTTGTCAGTGTTTTTATGGTATTTGTCTGAATTCAACTTTCAATGTTTCAGGTATATGATTCCGCCATGTCCTGGATCCTTCTGCAGCTGCTGTATCTCTCTAGCAATATGTTTCTTCTTTGCCTACTTCTAAGATTTTCTTTGCTATAGGTGCTCTATAGTTTCACCAAAGTGTATGTAAGTGTGGATTTAATTTTATTTATCCTGCTTGAGAATCACTGTTCCTCTTTACCTATCACTTTGAGTATTTCATCAGTTCTAGAAAAGTCTCAGGCATTAATTATGTCAAATATACTCCTTACATTCTTTCCTCCTGGTACCAAGATTACGCGTATGTTAAATCTCATTTTACTGTTTGCAACTCTTAATCTCTCTAATTCTTTTTGTTTCTTAATGTACTATCAGAATAGAATTCTAATATCTCAAGGTTGCTGTTAGTCTTCTAAGTTGAAAAAAGCTTACTGAAAAGAAGATATATGCCTACTTCTAGGTGAAAAATGGATTTTAAGGTTCTTTTCTTTCTTTTTTTGTGATACTGGTGATTGAACTGACTGAGCTACATCCCCACCCTGCTTTATATCTTTAAATTTTGAGACAGGGTCTTGCTAAATTATTAAGTTGCCCAGGCTGGGCTCGAATTTGCAATCCTCCTGCCTCAGCTTCCCAGAGTGCTGGGATTACAGGCAGGGGCCACCACACCCAGCTCAACAGTTTCCTTTCTCTCATTCCTTCCTAGCAAAAATGGACAATTGAAATCCTAATACAGCAAAGAAAATGATCTGTATGTAACCTGATATGTTAAAAAATAGTAAGCATCATATAATTTGATTACCTGATTTACTGTAGTCTCGAAGTTGGAAAGTATGAGTGAGGTCAGTTTTTCGTGAAATAATTTTCTCTTTTAATATCCTGATGGCACTACTTTCGATAACATTAACCCTATTTTAAGAAAACAATAGTTAGGTGAAAGATATATAAATCATCCTGTCTGTTTCATTTTAATGTGCTATATTACCACTTACCAGTTTCCACTCTAAGTGAATTGCCTACATTTACCCATAACATGTTATAGGATGGTGAATATACATATATGTTTGTGTGTGTGTGTGTGTGTGTGTGTGCATTTTGTGAAATTTAAAAAGGACTGTAGATAGTGTTTCTTTTTGGATATCTAAAATTCACAAACAATTATTTGAGAAAGAAAAAAAATTAAGGGACTTGCTATACCAAATATTGAAATTTACCATTATGTTACTGAAACAAAATAATAAGCATTGACAGAAGAGAAGACATATATATTACTAGAGCATAACAAAAATTTCATAAATATTTCCAACTATATATGGGCCTAATATATGACAACAGAAGTATTACAATTTGGTAAAAAAGGATAATTTTTAAAAATATTTCTAGTACAGTTAGCTAACTATCTGGGCTTAAACTTCTACTTCAAACCAGTTACAAAAATTAATTTGAAATAAAGGAGAAACAGAGGAACAAAATATTTATAAGATATATAATTGTCCCTTGGTATCTGTGGGGGGCCTTTCCCCCCCCCCCCCCCCGCTAGAACTCTTGAGTGCCTATTACGGACATGCCCGGGCTTGTTGCAGATCTACCCGGCAACAAGGAAGTAGCCCCAGTGCCCTCCTCTTGCTCCTCCCCTCTCGCTCTACGGTATATATGTTGTAGCAGCTTCCGCAATAAACGAGACTTGATCAGAAACCTGTCTTGTCTCCATCTCTCGTGTCCCCTGTCCCCTCTCATCCTCGCTCCCCCTCTAGGGTCTTCGTTGACTTACCCGCGGGCCGGGACAGGTATTCATGAGAGACTGGTTCTAGAATTCCCCTTGGATACAAAAATCCATAGATGTTCAAGTCCCTTATATAAAATGGCACAGTATCTACATATACCTATGCACACCCTCCTGTATACTTCAAATCATTTCTAGATTACTTATAATACTTAATGTAAATTCCATGTAAATCATTGTTATACTGTGTTATTTAGGAATGATAAGAAAAAAGTCTGCACATGTTCAGAACAGGTTTAATGTTTTTTAATGTTTTCAATGCAAAACTCACAGATTGAATGGCTAATGGCATATCAAAAAAGAAAAAGAATGGCAGATGTAAATCCAATCATATCAACAATAGCATAACATATGAATAGATTAATAAAATAAAATGTAAGAGATTGTGAGACTAGGTCAAAGCAAAACAAGATCCAATTATGCATTGTACGTAGGAGACACATTTTAGTTTCAAAGATACAAAGAGTTCAAAAAAACTGAATGAAAGAAAGAAAGAGAGAGAAAGAAGGAAGGAAGGAAGGAAGGAAAAAAAGAAAGAAAGAAAGAAAGAAAGAAAAGAGAGAGAGAGAGAACGAACCAGGCAAACAGCAACCATAAGAGAACTACAGTCACCACACTAATAGTAGACAAAATAGACTTTAGGACAAAAACTGTTACTAGAGATAAAGAAGGATATTTCATAGTGAAAAACAGTCAGTAAATGAAGAAAACAAAACAATTCTAAACATATAAACCTGACAACAGAGCCCAAAACTACATGAAGCAAAACCTGACATAATTGAAGAAAGAAATAGACAACTTAATAATGATAGCTGAAGACCAATACTCTACTTTCAATAATAGCTAGAACAGCCAGATGGAAAATCAACAAGGACACTGAACTTGAATAGCCTCTCTAAGCGGATGCCACCCAACAACAGCAGAATGTATATCCTTTTAAAGAACATGTAGAACATTTTCCACACTAGACCCTGTGCTAAGTAAGCAAACCTTAAGTCTTAACATTTAAAAGGATCAAAATCATACAAAGTATCTTTTCTGACCATAAAATAAATAAATTAGAAATTAATAATATAAACAAATTTAGGGAATTCATAAATATGAGGAAACTGAACAACATAATTCTAAAGAGCAAACAGGTCAAAGAATGAATGAAGAGAAAAACACAACAAACCAAAACATATGGGATGCAACTAAAGTAGTGCTTAGAGGAAAATTTATAGCTAAAATATCTATTATAGGTGTAAATAATTATAAATTTAGCTATAAACAGCTATATTAAAATCCCTATATGATAACTGTTAATATCTATAGATAATTATATTAGGTATTAATAGTTATTCCGGTAAATACTTCTATAAGTAAATATACTTGTATTTATGCCTATAAATACCTATACTAAAAAAAAGGAATAATCTCATTAAAATCAATAATGTTATCTTTGACATCAAAACCAGGGGGGAGTAAACCAAATGCAGTGCAAGAAGAAAGAAGGGAATAATAAAGAATAGAACAGAAAGAAATAAAATAGAAAAATAGGGGCGATCCAACATGGTTGGATGGAGGAGGAGTCACGTCTGAGAGACTCAGAGAAGATCAACTAAAAACACAGGTAACTGGAAGAAGGGGAGGGACATACATTCTGATGCAAAAAATCAATTTGAAAGAAGAGACTTGTAGATTGAACAAAACGTACACATAAGAGTTAAAAAGAAGAGAAGCGTCCTGCCAGGGCTGGTCTACAGGGCCTCCGCCCTTGCACACCACGAAAACAGCCATTTTGAGAAGTTCCCGAAAGCTGGCGGGATCCAAGGAGCGTGGCAGGGTCTAGTCTCACAGGATAGACTTGCAAGTATATGAGCCCCTTCATCCCATGGTCATTTTCGCAGGCACACACCAGGGCTGAGGGATCAGGAATGGGAGACGCCCCCCACCCCCCATCTCAGACTCCAGAGGATAAACAAGAGATTGCTGTTTGTGTTGGGAGTCTTCAGTATTGGACCCCGGGCATGCCCGAGTCAATGTCGGGAGCCTGCACTTTATCCCACACCATCCAGCACACAGAGCTAACACTTGGCAGGTTTGAGTCCATATCAGGCACCTTTGGGCTCGCTTGATTCTACACCCAGCTCTCACTGCTCTGCTCCAGTCCTGGACCTGCCAGAGACTGTCTGACCCGCAGCACCGGGCCTGGGCAGCCTGGGTCCCCTCATGGGAGCTCCAGTCCATGCAAGTCTCCGCCTGGAACACTTGGACTGTGAGCACCAGACACACTGGCCCCACTCTGGGCACAGCAGGGTCTCCTCCACCCTGCATTCTGCCAGCGTCCCAGGCACAGTCCCTGCCTGGCACAATAGGCCAGTCCTCTGCCTCAGCAGTAAGGGTTAAGGGTCTGCCTGTTTATCCCGGTGCTCCAGACACCTGTGAGACACTACCCAGTGCTCTGTGCCCTCACAGAGACTGGTGGAATCTCCCTACATCAGTCTGGGGAGCACCTGCACCTCCTCTGGGGATGCCGAGGGGACATAAGCCTCTACCTGGTGTCTAGAGCTGGTCCCATAGACACTAGAATATACATCAGGTACCCAGCATTGGCCCCTGACAGTACCAGGAGCCTCAGAATGGAGGAGCCTCCAATGCTCCACACCTTTCCTGGGCAGCTGTGACAGACCGTTGCCACAAACAGGGGTTTCCAGACAAGGGGACCCAGTGAGCTGAGAAACCTCCACACAGACCAGCAGACTATAGAGGGGCAAAGAGGAATGTGACTTGTAAAATTAAAGCCTGCAGGCTCTGAAAGAAAACACTCTTCTGGAAATATATAGGAATTTTATTTCTTTTGCTTTTTTCCCCCTCTTCTCCCTTAATTTAACCCAATATTTTTCTTTTCTCCTCTATTGGTATTTTTTATCTTTATTATTATCATTATTATTATTACTTTTTTACTATTGATGGGGCTTAGAATTGTACCACCCATTTTCTTATTCCCCCTTTTATAAACATAACTTTTATTTGTTTGAATAGGTCCTCCCTTTTTTCTCTGTCTCTCTTGTTTTCTGGCTATCTCTCTTTCAACCTGTTTTTTCAGTATTTCTCCTCTCTTTCTCTAGTTTAATCTCCATTCCCTTTTATTTGTCCTTATCCTAGTTGGTTTTTTCTGTTACTGTTATCTAATACTACTAATTTTCCTTTACTCCTTAATAAGACCTTTACATCAATCTTACCACCTTCTATCTTTCATTGTTTAATTTTTCATAACCTATTTCTTTTTTCTTCATGCTCCCATAGCCACACTATTTACCCTTGTGAATCTGTAGTTAGTTAACTATATCTTACTATGCTGAATACTGTTCTATGTTGAAAGGAGGTAAACCTGCTCTATTGAATAGATACGTTTGATATATAAATACCTGGTTTGTCTTAGAGTTTGTTCTATACCTATAGATCTTGTTCCTATGATCAAAGTTGGTACAGTGTAAGTTATTAGAATTTGTCGTTACTCAGTGTGTGCTTGATACTCTTGTAATTGTTCATTGTAATACTTTAGCCAAGGGGACATAGTAATTGTGACCAGTTGGTGTTCCGTGCATGCCAATATCCAGCTTGTCTGGGATTCATACCAAAGAACTGGGTACTAGACCAACAGGCTGCAACCTTTCCTCTCTGACAAATGAAGGTGGCAGGATCCTGGGACAGACCCAATGCCAATGGCTAGCAAAGCATAGAGGACATCTCTGAAAAGTTGTTGCTGTTATACCTAGAAGTAATTCTCTCTGCACAACATAGGGACGGAGACCAAATGACTTAAAGTAAATAACAGGGGCCCGGGATTTAGCTCAGTGGTTCTGGTGCCTGCCTCGCAAGCACATGTTCCTGAGTTCAATCCCTGGTACCGAAAAAAAAAAAAGTAAATAACAGAAGGGGTAAATACTATCACTGGACACCTGAAGCTGAAAAGACTTCATAGCAATATGTTACTAAAAGTCGTCATATATCCACAAGCCCTCCTCATTCTACTAGACCTCCACCCACAGTAACCCCAAGAGGAAGGGGTCACAAAAGGAGAGGAAAACAAATACCAGGTAGAAGAATTCTTTGAAAAGTTTATAGACGGGATGAAGAAACTAGAGAAGTTCAAAGAGGAAATGAACCAAAAGTTCACAGCAATTTCACTCAATATGCCCACAGTGAATTTAGGGAGAATAAGTAAAAAACTGGACAAGCTAGCAAAACAGCTCAAAACTTGAATGACAGATTCAACAAGGATATAAAGTCCTCAAAAAGATGCCAGACAAAAATACCTGAAATTAAAAAAAAAACTGTATAGAATACATAAATTGCAGAAATGACCAGTATGAAGACACAGTGTCTGAAATTGAGGACAAAATAGTGAATTACAGTGAAGTATTTGAAGCTACAAAGAAAATAAGAGAACAAGAGATTATCCAGCAGCTGCTAGATGACAGTAAGAAGACCAATCTAAGGCTGAGTTAGAGAAAAACTAGAAGATAACACAAATAGATTTACAGAAATCATATAAGAAAATCTCCCATATATAAGAAAAGAGTTTAAAATATAAGTGATGGGGCCGGGGATTTAGCTCAGTGGTTCCGCCGCCTGCCTCACAAGTGCAAGGTCCCAAGTTCGATCCCCGGTACCA